GCTGCTGCCTGCAGGCTGCCCTGCTTCCTCCTCCCTCCTCCTCACCAGGCATTTCCCCTGCCACCATGTGGGAGCTGATCCAGGCAGCTTTTTTTTTGCCAGGGGAGTTTTCCACTGGATCAGCTCCCTGGCCTGACTCCGGGACGCTGCCAGCCCCACCATGGAGCCAGAGGAGCTCATAACTTCCCCAGCTCACAGCACGCCTGGCCCTGCACACCAGGCCTACAGCACATCTGCAAACAGCTGCAGCAGAGACGCTGGCCAATTCGCCTGGACAACTGCAAATGCAGCCGAGCGGCTGCGGGCCACGCAGGGCCCTGCTGCCGACAAGGATCCTTCGGCAGCAGCAAATCCAGAGATCTCTCAGCTTTTAATCCCTGCCCTGCAGACTCTCCGGATTGAGCAGAGTACATGCTCTTTTTAAGCAAGACCAGGATCTTCCCAAGGGCTCAGAGGAGGTTTTCCACTGGGCTCCCCCGAGGTCCACAGTCAACATTTAGGTCTCTGCTTTTTGAGACGGAGATAGTCTCTCTTCCAGGTCCCCGGACAGGCCCAAGCAAAGCCCTCACTGGCCCGTGGCCCTGCAGAGCAGGGAAGATGACCACCAGTGTCTAGGAGCAAAGCCTTGGGGCAAGAGCAGTGCCGTTCCTCGCCCCACATCCTAGCACATCCCCAGCCCCGCAGGGATTCCCTGAGCGGCCAGAGACGATTCCCTTCCTCCCCTTTGGGATCTCCAAATCTACAGGCTACATTGGCATGCAGGGACATGGCCAGCACAGGCAGGACAGGACCCACCATGGTGCCCTATCTAGAATAAAACAACTGCGCTGGGATATCCCATATCCGCTCTGGGGCAGGCTGATTTGGGAATTCAAGGCCACTCTTATGCCAGAGCAGCGCATTTGCTCCGGGAGACCAAGGAGAGCGATCCCAGGCACTCCTGCCTGTTTTTTCCCCCCCCATCAGCTCTCCCAGCTTGGATAGTGCAGCCAGAAGTCGGCTTGTGCCGGCCCTGGGACTCTCAGCCCTCCCGCAGCAGGCGCTGTAGCCGAGGCCACGCCACAGGCAGCCCAGCAGCGAAGCCTGCCCGGCCTAAACGATGCCGGAAGAAACATCTGACGTTACAGGAAGATTCCTGGTCCATGAGCTCATGTCACACCACTGATCTCACACGCCAGTTGCAGGCCCAGGAGGCAAAAAGCTAATCCATGGTCAGATGGTTGCAAAAACCCAGGTGCACAATTAGAAACATGGCTAACGTGGCTGGACCGACCAGCCCTGCATCCCCATGCCACTGGGGTCCCTCCGCTTCCCACTGCCACTCCCGCCGTGAGAGTGGGTGGCTGGACAGAAGGGGAAGGGAGCCTGCAAAAGGAGGAAGAGCGATTGGGACATCCAATTGCACAAGCCACACAGTTCCCATGTTGCCAAAACCCGAGCGCTGGCCCGTTTGCTCCCTCCCAGGGCTTTCCCTGGGGACTGGGGAGGTTCACACCTCAGGGAGGGCTTGTGTGGCCACTTTGCCCGTCTCCATCGCTTCTCAGCTTAGCATTTCAAAGCTCCCAGAGCACTCATGGGCCTCATCTCGCTGACAGAAAGCGACATTTCCTGGGGCCTCGCTGCCGCAGGGGAAGCGCCACAAAGCCCCCGGCTGCCAGTTGCCTCCTGCAGCCACCAAGTGCTTCACCTCGGAGCCATTACAGGTGCAGTCATAAAGCCAAACCCAGGCTGCTGCCCACAGCCTGAGCACCGTGGAGGCACACGGAAACAACCACGCGGCAGTCATCAGGCAAAACCCCCCACCCTCGTCCTGGGACTCTCCAAAACTCCCCATATCACAGGTCCCTGTGCACCGACCCCTATGCCGTCACACGCAGCGAAAGCAGATGCTCTCTACAGCAGGGAAATCACAGCAAACACTTGGGCTGTGATGCCTGCCCCCAGTAACCCTCCTCTCACTGCTGTGAGATGGAAAAGCTTGTGAATAAGCTGCATGTGGGTCGGGTTGGCAGGGGCAGCGGGTCCTGCCCGCAGCTCAGGCCAGCAGCACCGCAGCAGGGCAGCTCAGGTCCGGGTGTGAGCACTGCTCCACGGTGGCGCCCCTGGACCTCGTTGTGTAACAGGCACCACCAGAGCTTGGGGCTGCAGCTGGAGGAGAGCAGCTTCTCCCCAGCTCAGAGAGGCAGGCTTAGGTTCGGACAGGCTCTCTGCACCGCGCCGAGGGAGGAGCAGGGGATTCAAGCAACGAGCATTTCCCTGCTGCCGTTGAATTCCCAGCCAGACCTCTCCTGCCCAGCCCCACACTGCCAAGCTTTTTGGAGAGCATGAACACGGGACTGTGACCTTCAGCAGCAGAGTCTTCACTGGCCCTCCTGAAGTGCAGGGCTGATGCAGAAAGGGGGGCTGTGCTGCTTTCGCTCCTCTGAGATCTGAGGGGTTCAAAGCGAAAGGACAGATCGTGGCGCACAGAGGAGGGCACGTGTGCAAGGACCACATCCAAAAGCTGGACAGTGAAGGTCACGGCCACTCAGTGCCTCTCAAGGACAGGGGGAAGGAGCCAGCTCAGC